GGGGACCCTGTTGTAGAAGCCTATACTATCCCGCTTAGAGGCGATCAGAAGCACTGTTCTCAGCAGCTTAAACACTTGCGTGGTCCTGATGAGAGTAATTTTTCAACCACACTCGACACGATGCGGATGAAAGCACTGACATCATGAGCAAGAGTAACTGTGTGTGTAGACTCGTCACAGCCACATCTGCGAGTTTGACGCCTCACAGAACGAATGAATGCCTATTCATTTTATCCATGGGCGGACTCAAGACTCATGGCACAACCCGCCCCAGAAAGTCGCAAAAGACTCTCTCTCTCTCTCTCTCTCTCTCTCTCTCTCTCTCTCTCTCTCTCTCGCTACATAGAAGTTAGGTCACATCGTATACACACACACACACACACACCCACACACGCATACACACATGCGCGCGTGACAAGAAGTGTGAGCCCGAAACCCTCTGTTTAGTGTTCTGCAAATCCCAAGGTTCAGCCTGATCCTGGCAAGAACCCGCTATGACGCCCTTGCCAAGAAGATCTCGAAGGGACTTCACGATTAGGGGTTGGACCTAGACTTGGCCAAGTCCTCCGACCGAGTGGAGTAGGTTTCGGGGTTTACAGTGTATTCCTGCATGTCCTCCAGTATACCCGGACCCTGCATCCCAAAGCCGTAAGCCCCATGTAAGCTTTGCTGGGTTGGAGGCTTCGGCTAACGCAAAGTCACATCTCTAATCTGATCTTTGGATGTCGGGTTGTACATAGTTCACCTGGCCTCGCTGCAACCTATGGAGGCTCAGGCATTCATGGCGGCGAGTGTCTTGTGAAGATACAGCACCAATGCGGCAATTTTCTACGTAAGGAGATCGAAGGGAGGCTTCGCATGGAGCCCACTTGGGTGTATCTCAGGGTGCTGCTGGAGACCGAATCTGTATGTTGCAATCTTATATATTAGAACTCCTGAGATAGGCCCTATGGATTGCATGGTTATTTTCTGGTGCAAAAAGCTCCACATGCCAATGCACCACTGATGTGGGAGCTGGCCGGCACTTCTGTCAGTCATGTTTTGAATCGACGTTCGGAAAAATAAGAACAGTAATAATCAATAAAGGCATAAGCGGCAGTTTAGGGGTTGTTCATCAGTAATAAAGGTATGAGTGGCAGTTTTGGTGTTGTTTATTTGGCTGGCATCAATGCTTGCAGACTCCTTCTTTCATGAACCACATCGGAAAACGAGCGCCTAGCACCTCACCGCATGATCCACACGCTCAGCCCCAGATTACCCGAAACTCGAAACCCTCTCAGAAGGGGCTTCTGTTTCAGCAATGCACCCCAGAGCTCGTCCCATTCCCCTCTCAAAACTACAAGTTCTTTTCGCAGTTCTTCTTCCGGCCTAATTACAGAAGTCCTGGTTGCCGAAGCCTTCCCCCGGAAATCCAGACCTCTGAACTGGCTTCAGCTCTCCTAAGCCCCAGGCCCTAAAGCCTAAGCCCTCCATGAAGCCTGCAGCCCAGGAGCTGCAACCACGACCCCTCTGAAGCATCCTGAAGCTCAAAGCGGAAGCTCCGGAACCACTGTATGTATGTATATGTATATGTATGTATGTATGTATGTGTATTTGTATTTGTATTTGTATTTGTATTTGTATTTGTATTTGTATTTGTATGTATATATATATATATATATATACACATGTATATATGTTTGCATGCAAGTATGTATGTACGTATGTACGTATAACAAGTCATAACAACTATACAGGAAACGAGCGGTACCTATCATATGTATGATGCGATGTAGGTATGGTGTGCGGGAGTGTATATTTGTCTGTGTATTTCTGGTCATTCACCGCGAGATCACCCGAAAGTAGTGGAACCATTACGACCCGACCCGATCCATGTTTAGCGACCCGACCCGACCCTAGAATGTAGCGAAGTTAGCTCTCCGACCCGACCCGATCTGCTGCTAAATTGGAGAATGTAACTGTTCTGAGTTGGTCAGGTATATGTGTGTGTGTGTGTCTGTCTGTCTGTATGTGTGTGTATATATATATATATATATATATATGTATACATACATATATGGATCCGTGTGTGTATATACATATATACTTACATATTATACGCCTATGTGCACGTAAGCTTGTTTGTTCGTGTACTGGCGTTCCTGTTTTGTGCAGCGCCTGTTCGTACTAAATATCAGGAAGACACTACACGAAGACAAAGAACCAACTAAAGAGATGTGTTGGTTATACACATGTGTACACATACATATATCTCTATATATTTATACATATGTGAATAGCATCTTTATTTTGCATTTCACACTTTATCTTACATATCGTCTAATTGCAGACCGTCTTCTCCGCCACACCGGGAAGCGAGCTGACGACGGCCTGGGATCTCACCCGAGAAGTTCTGGGCGCCCAGGCAGAGCTTCTCAGGGGTTTGTGTTTTGGCGCTTCGGTTTGGAGATGTGCAGGGGTTTGGGATTTAGGGTTTAGTGCTTAGGTGCTTCGTGTTGTCGAATCCCTACATCACATAGAAGGGTCTGAATTGTCAGTCACACTTTTAGCTGGTGTTTCTAATACACTTGGAGTCTGTAGATACACAACCATAACGCACTGACATCGTGTGGACGTGTCTTCTGAACTTCTTGTCATTTCAGACGCAGCAGACGTCTGCGCCCTGTGGCCTATCAACCCAGCCCCCAACCCACAGTAGCATTATCCCCATCCCCCCAGCCTCCGCATGCCAGAGTGATGGAGGGTTATTGTCGGCTGGCACGACAAGTGAAGACCCGTGTGTACTCAAAGGGCTAAATAGTTACCTGTACTATTTTAAGGGTTCCGTATTACATTTATAGTATAACGGGCCCCAGTTAGGATGGTTCACGGTTGGCAAGGAGTCTGAGGTATTTCCGAAACGCTTTGCCTGGCAAGTTCCTGTAACTACACAGTAAAAGTCGCTGGTCAGCCTCAGATCCTGAACCCGAGATCCTTGAGACAGAGTCTGCGTTTGGTGTTCAACAGGCCTTGGAACAGAAGCTCGAACACACAGCAAAAGATTAGCCTTGTTTGGGGGTTCAGGATTTTCGGCACAGGGCTTCGGTGCTTCAGGGGTTAAGGCTTTCGGACCTTGGCGGCTTCCATGGCAAGGGAACCTCAACCCCAATACCCAGACCCCAGCTTGCTAGGACGGCGGGGTGGAGTTCGACGACTATGGCGGCGAGTATGGCCATGTAGCCGCCGCCTTGGTGACTTAGGAGAAAGTTTGCTGTTTGCTCAGAACTGCTTCTGCATTCATGTCTGGTCGATTGATCTTGTATGGTCGCTGTTGTTCGTATGTTTTGCTCGACCCCGAGACCGAAGTCACATTTTGTCAGCATGACAAGAGGCAGGAGATTACGCATTCCTTCCATAACGGCCCCGAGATTCACAAAGAAAGCGTGCAAGGGATCGTTCAAGTAAGTCTCATTTCTGCAGTCAAGCATGTCAACGTTTTCGCGAAAACATACTGTAGCATACTACAGCATGCGATAAGTACTAACTACAAAAGAATCCGTTATAATCCGTTAATAAGTTAGTGTACCATAGTATGCTACAACATACTGCTGCAATGTATTACGACTGCTTTTTCATTGACACCAGAGGCCCAAAGTATTCTGGGTGAGACCAATGCGGTGGATGGCAGCCTCTCGGAACCAACACTAGTCCGAATTCCCAAAGTTTTCTTGTAATTCCTCATCGTAAGTATTATACTTCAGCTTCGTTATTTCATTTTTATGCTATGATATTGAGCAATCCCTGTGTTAGTTATTCAGGTCTCCAGATTCCTGGGTTCACCCAAGCCTTGGGGTTTCTGCCCTCATTTTCAGCCGAGAAGGTGCAATTACAGCTCAACCCTCATCTCGTTCTACAGTTTTAGAGTGAATACGGTATCAACCAGCCTCAGGCTTTGGTGGAAGAAGAGTATGAGCTTCATTTAGAGTCAGACCCACACAGGAAAAAAACACACGCGGTGGGACGAGCTCCGGGGAGCAAGAGGTGTGGTCTGCATCTTTGGTATGTCAGTACTCACTTCTTAGAATGGCATGACAAGATGCTTGCTCGCACTGCACTGTTCCGCTGCGTGATTTGTTGCTGTCTGCCTCTCCCGCAGTATGCAATCAATATTATCATGTACATATATATATATATACACACCTACGCATGTGTGTATACAAAAGCACATGCAGGGAGGTATACGTGTACGTGTACCTCCATGCATATGTCTCAGTATCTCCGCCTCGCCCCCCGTGCGCTTGTATGCATGTACGAGCAGGTTGACAACTGGGTAGACATGTGTATACATATATGTGTGTTATATGTACATATATATATATGTAACATGTATATATATATATATATATATATATATATACATAAAACATCATATGTGTATACACATGCATACACCTCTCCCTGTATCAGCATGGATTTGTCATGCAGCTACATTTGCGCTATGGCAGTGTGTCAACAATAGTTTCTGCAAATGACCTGTGTGTTGAAAGATGTTGCTCTCGTTGTGTTGTTTTAGACTGTCTCTCTCGTCACGTGCCAGTACTACATGCTACTGTTGTTTGCCTTTCTGCTTGCAGACAGTCTTGCACGATTGCTCTCGTCGGTGCGACCCGCTGACAACACCTAGTGCGTGAGGTGTGCTGCCGTTGTTGATGTTGCTGATCCTGCACACTTGTTTCATTCAAATTTTCTCTGAGGTTGGTTCTGGGCGCTATATGCGTATGGCTCCTTCACGCAGGAGCCAGCGCTCTCAGGTCTTTACGCAGTGGTCTTTTCGCGGCGGTCGTCCAGGTAATACGTACTCAGGGTCCCCCAAGCTGAACATGTGAAAGTGGAAGACTGTGGAACTTGAACCGACCGTTGATCCTCAAGCTCGTGTCCCTGCACGTTGTGGCTCGAGAGCTTGAGATTTCTTCATCTGAAGCTCTTGTGAGGCTCTCTTCAGCATTCCGCGCCGCTTCAGCATGGCACACGGCGCTTTGTGTGTCCGCCGAGCGTCCATCCGCATCCGGCACCTGGTGAAGCCAGGCCGGCTGGCTCGAAAGATTCGAAGCCATCACAATCGCAAGGACGAGGCAATGCAGGTCGCGCTCGCCAAAGTCTTCGAGGAGGAGGAGCTGTGGGCATCGGCGGTGGGTATATAGGGTGTCGGGGCACGAGGAAAAGGGTTGCGGGATGCTGCGGGGTTTGTTTTTTCGGGTTACAGGGTCGCATTTTGGGGATGCTCTGCCCGATGCCTTGCAGGAGGCTGCCCCGGTGGAGAACGAGGAAGTGATGCATTGCGAAGAGCACTCCGATCCAATCGAGGCAACCATGCACGCGGAGGACCTTGTGCAGCAGATGGTGGAGCAAGCTACGCGCAATGCGGAGCTTGCCCTAGGGGAAGCAGAACAAGCGGCCGCAGAAGCTGCAGCGTGTGCAATGGAGCTTGAAATGCTTCTGAACGAACTGGGCATTTGAGAGCTCGTTGAGACGTCCGTCCTAGTACAGAGGGGCTGCAAGCTGTCTTCGGGGGCTTTGGAGATCAACTGGCTCGTTTATCTAATATCTAGGTTTGAGTAATCACTAAGACGGACGCCGGTTCTTTGGAGTGCGTGAAATTGGCCTTTCGCCTGAGTTGGAATTTCAGGTACACCGTACAGGATTTAGGGACTTAGCGTGTAGGACGGTGGAGTGTAGGATTCCAAAATATTTAAAGGTTGAAAGCTTCACAGCATATTAGCAACTCTGCGAGATGCCGAAAAAGATCCCAAGCTGGCCTGTCCAGGTGATGCCAGCAGTTCCCAGAGGTCCAAGGTTATGTGGAGTTCTACAGTTCTAATCCATATATATATATATATATATATATATATATATATATATATATGAGGACTTGTTTTTACAACTGGACCCGCGGGAGAAATCCAAGGATGTGCAGGACCCAGTGAGCACAAGAAACATGCCCCGTTTGGATATAGGTATGGTTTCTAGGTTTGTTTTCTTGCACTTTTGTTCCGAACCTTATTCAAACCCTCCCAAGACATGATGGAGCCATCCAAGATTGTGCTTATGTGCTTCGCTGGCTCTTGCGGAGAGCGAGCTGCCGGGGCCAAAGTATGACAACGCACGCATGGGGAGAGCTCTGTTCTCGCAGTCCTTTCAATGTCACTTTGTCCCCGGCAGAACCAGCATGACGCTGGGTGTGAGTTGTAAATGCAACGGAACTGGAGAAGCTGCTCAAAGACCAAAGTGTCTGAGAGCTCGCTAACACGTCCGTCCCAGAAACTACAACAAGCAGTCCTCGAATTAAGGTTGATTCAGGCGCTGTAATAACCTTCTACAATCCTTCCAGCTTGCAGGGTATAGTGATACAAGAACGTACGTTGACCCTTTTGAATGCATCCAAGATCGTTCGAGAGTGCCAGCTTGTTTGGGTGCAGGGTCAGCAGGTTCGTTTCTCTAGGTAGGTGATTCACAAAGACGGACGGGAGTATTCTCCAGTGCGTGAAATTGGCCTTTCGCCGGAGTTGAAGTTTCAGGTAGACCGTTTAGGGTGTACGAAGGTGTAGGATTCCAAAATGTAAGTTAGTTTAGGTTGGAAGTTTCCGTGTATTTACAACTCTGCGACAGGCCGAAAAAGATTCCAAGCTGGCCTGTCCAGGACATGCCAGTAGTTCCCAGAGGTCCAAGTCGGTCTGTTGTAGAGGTCTAATCTAATCACTAGTTTCCTACACTAGGTTTGTCTGCTATAGTAGAGTTCTGCAGTTCTAATCCATATATGAGGACATGTTCTGGCAGTTGCAAGCAGCACTGGACGTTTGGGAGAAATCCATTGATGTGCAGGAGCCAGTGAGCACCAGAAAGATGCCCTGTTTGGGTATAGGTCTGTTTCCTAGGTTCGTTTTCTTGCACGTTTGTTCCGAACCATATTCAAACCCTCCCAAGACATGATGGAGCCATCCAAGATTGTGCTTGTGTGCTTCGCTGGCTCTTGCGGAGAGCGAGCTGCCGGGGCCAAAGTATGACAACGTACGCATGGGGCGAGCTCTGTTCTCGCAGTCCTTTCAATGTCACTTTGTCCCCGGCAGAACCAGCATGATGCTGGGTGTGAGCTGTAAATGCAACGGAACTGGAGAAGCTGCTCAAAGACCAACGTGTCTGAGAGCTCATTAACACGTCCGTCCCAGAAACTACAACAAGCAGTCCTCGAATTAAGGTTGATTCAGGCGCTGTAATAACCTTCTACAATCCTTCCAGCTTGCAGGGTATAGTGATACAAGAACGTACGTTGACCCTTTTGAATGCATCCAAGATCGTTCGAGAGTGCCAGCTTGTTTGGGTGCAGGGTCAGCAGGTTCGTTTCTCTAGGTAGGTGATTCACAAAGACGGACGGGAGTATTCTCCAGTGCGTGAAATAGGCCTTTCGCCGGAGTTGAAGTTTCAGGTAGACCGTTTAGGGTGTACGAAGGTGTAGGATTCCAAAATGTAAGTTAGTTTAGGTTGGAAGTTTCCGTGTATTTACAACTCTGCGACAGGCCGAAAAAGATCCCAAGCTGGCCTGTCCAGGACATGCCAGCAGTTCCCAGAGGTCCAAGTCGGTCTGTTGTAGAAGTCTAATCTAATCACTGGGCTCCTACATTAGGTTTGTCTGCTATAGTAGAGTTCTGCAGTTCTAATCCATATATGAGGACATGTTCTGGCAGTTGCAAGCAGCACTGGACGTTTGGGAGAAATCCATTGATGTGCAGGAGCCAGTGAGCACCAGAAAGATGCCCTGTTTGGGTATAGGTCTGTTTCCTAGGTTCGTTTTCTTGCACGTTTGTCAGTTCCGAACCGTATTCAAACCCTTCCAAGACATGATGGAACCATCCAAGATTGTGCTTATGTGCTTCGCTGGCTCTTGCGGAGAGCGAGCTGCCGGGGCTGAAGTACGACGACGAGATGTCACTCTGATCCCGGCAGAACCAGCACGGCGCTATCGCACGTTCGCATGTGCCAATTCACTCCACGTCGTGCATAGATCCGCGATCAAAGTGCTAGAGTTGACAGTGTTTCGCAAAAAACGCGATTGTCGTTTGCTGCTGTTGGTTCCGCGGAAGTGTCGTGATGTATAGATTATATTTAGTGTCTTTGTCCTAGTCGGTTGTTGTCGTATCGATTTTATAGTGTCTTGGCTTCTCAGAAGATGGGCTATGTAAAAGTTACTGTGCGTTTGAATTTGCTTCAGCCAAATCTGATAAGACTGGAAGGCTCATCGCCTGCTTGCAACGCGATGGGAGATTACAAAGTACAAACTGACATTCGCGCCCAAACGACGAAGCGTATGACGTTTAAGCTCATCCTTTTTTTGAGAGACCAGCCGAGTTGTTGTTGTGTGCCGGTACTAGAACGGCCACCACATGAATTACCAAAGGGCTAGTCTGGCACGCTCAGAAGTCATCGAAAGTTTCATAAGACTGTTACTACGGTTGATGATATAAATCCTGCATGACCCTTGATAAGGAATATACCACAATCCCACATATTCCCTATTATTGGTAATGCAGGATATATATCATCAACCGTAGTAAGCCATAGTAAGCCTCAAAACCTGTAAACTTCGATATACACTCCGACCCGAAACTCCGAACGGAGACCCCAACTCACTCAGGTGGCTACGGGCCCCAAGCAGCGTCGACACGACCGACCTGGACACGTTCCCCCATATTGCATGGGTGGCCTTCAGGACGCAGCGTGGCTTTATGGGAGCGTGGGTAAAGGTTTTCTTCCCGAGTGTCAAGGCATGAGCAGGACAGTAGGAGCAGCAGCAGCAACAGCAGTAGCATGTGATAGGTGTTCTCCAGCGTGTATTCGCAGTGCCCCTGCTGTCAAACGCGACAAACGACAGCATGACAGACAAAAAACCACACGCTGCGTGCTTTGTCTTTGGTGGGAAGTTCGCGCCATGTCAGCATGGACAGATTGAGCATCATGAACTCTAAGCGCCAACGGACGACCTGAGCCTGTCTCCAAGGAGCCGGGGGCCCGAATGCTTCGACTCGGGCTGTAAAGTGTCTCTGTTTGTTGAAAGGCAGCACGGAGAGATACCCTGATGCCATGTCGTTGCATTCCCTACACCCTATAGCGAACCCCAGAAAGTTGGAACATAGGTTTAGGATGATTAGTGCGGGGATTCCTATACTTTAGCTGAAAGGTATGAGGTTGATGATGCTCCAACTTTCTGGATCCTACTGTATAACCCTAACCAAGTTCAGTTGTCATTGGGCGAGGACGGCTGCGGAACGCCGGGAAGAAGACGAGAGGGCCCAGATCTCGAACGAGGGTTTGTTTGGGGTTACCTCGCCTGTTAAACTTTTTGGCTCATTATGACCGAAAGTTCAAGACGTAATGCTTCTCGTGTCAGTACGACCCTGCCTGCAGCTTGGGGGTATGGAGAACCCTCGCACTGCAGAATATTAGCAAGTGCTGTTAAGTCGTAGCAACTTTGGCAAGGTAAGTGCAGCGGAGAGGCTCTTGACTAGTTAGCAGTTCTTTCGATGGTTGTTGACGACGAAGCAGGTGAAACTGATAGCATGACGGCGACGAATATTCATGGTGATGGTGGTGATGATGATGATGATGATTTCTTCGAACTTCCACAGTTCAATTCCATTTTTTCAGATGTTGAGTCGAAATTGGAGTAATCTTCCCTTTGTGTTCCGGCCCCTGCATTCGGGACTTGTTCGCCCCCTCAGCCATTTTCAGAAATCTTCCGGAGATCCACAAAATCCCTGCAGAGCCCACTGCCAAATGAATCGCAGGCTGCTGCTGCTCCTATCGAAACTTCAGCGGCTAAATCTTAATGCGCTCTATCGACCTCGTATACACGTTAAATATGACACTGGAAATGCAAGTTAATTCTTCTGGCTTCAATGTCAATGAAGCTTGGACAAAACTCCTGCAAACCCAGAGCGCTGTGATCAAGCTTTCTGAACCTCCAAGCCTTACGTCCTAGAAGTGTTCCAATGTCCAAGCCTTCGCCCAAAGCCTGAGCACCGACGAGCTGAGGTCATCCGACTGCTTGGGTCCAAACCCCTGAAAGAAACGTAGTGAAGGAGACTGGTTAAGCAACCGTTGCTGTCTACATCCCCGAAAGGCTACGATCCCTACTACGAGTCCGAATAACCCGAACTGTTGGTTTTCTTAGGATCGGAGTCCAGGCGGGCTCGTGTTTCGGAGTTTAGGGTTCCGCTTCTCCGGAGCCCAAGGCTTTTATGTACTATAGGGGCCTGGATAATTACCTATACTACTTTAGGGGGTTTCTTGTCATAGGTGTAGTATAACGGCCCCCCAAACCCTATTCCAATTGTTTCAGACCCCTAGAGTAGGTTTCGGGCTGGTCTTCTCTGTGTGTTGCCGATCGCCCGTTTAATGTGCAACGACTGGGGTTATGAGACCATTGCGCAACTTCGTAATGAAAAGGCTGCTCCTGTGAGTTTCGG